AATGTTTATCGGGGTTAGTTTCCAAGCAGGCATATTCCGAAGCCCTTCACAGCAGTCGGGCTTATCTCTATACGTGATAGAGTCTGTTCCCCAGTGTTCCCTTCCCAGCTCTAACGCCGCAGAGCGTTTTCCTCGTGTCCCCCTTCCCAGATCTGATGCCACAGACCCTTCCCTGTGTCCCCATTCCCTGTTCCCTTTCCCTCTTAACAAACATGATTCCAATTTCCCTTCCCCCTCCTGTTTGACCCTGTTTATATAATAATATTCTCATCTACACTTTAACCAGTCATTGTACTGAAATTTAACTAACCAATTCTAATAATTGTAACATAATTTTCTAACCAATATATCCCAGTACCCTAATTAACTTACACCTAGCAAAATTAATTATACAGCAGCAGACAGAAACAATTAGAGAACCAGACTGATTGACAATGTAAAAGCGGTGGCCATAAAGATAAAACAATACGGAAATGAGTGTTTCACAACCATTGATAAGTGATTTTTTGCCAGACAGGATTCTATCAAACTAAGTTTTCTTTAAGCATCTTAAGGTCTGTTTCTTTATCAGGTGGTGATGGGCGCTATCGGGACAGGATTGTCTTCCTAACAGCCCAATAGCCCCTTATTTCAGTGTGGCTGGTTTGGGAGGTGAGGATGTGATCCTACGCTTCCCAGCTTATGGCTCTCCCTGCTGCTTAGCCAAAGAACAAGGCCTCAGACTCTCCTAGTGAGACAAGGCCCAGACACAGGCAGACTGTGATTTTGATTCTTTGTTTTTATACCTCTGTAAGTAGCTAAGTGATAAAAATACACCTAAGTTCTTAAAGTACAGGCTTTACAGGCAGGCCTGAATATCTCTATTCTAACAGTGGGTTCTACCCGTTTCCCCATTTTGTGTCTGTCTTGTCTATTTAGATTGTAAATTCTTCAGGGCATGGGCCGTCTACTATTCTGGGTTTGTACTTTGCCTAGCACAATGGGGACCCACTCTTAGTTGGTCCTGAGGCACTAAGGTAATGCATATGATTTATTATAATAGTAACACTCCTGCCACTTTGAGCTAAGGAAGCTGGCCTTGGGATGTTACTGCTTAAAAATGAGCTGGGTTAAAACCATGCAATATTCTTTGTGCCAAGTATTCCACAAATTCCACTGACCTCCCTTGTTTTCTTTGCCTGTAGTAGGGTTTCCAGTTTCCATACCTGATGTGATCTCGCAGCTGGAACGAGGAGAAGAGCCATGGATCCCAGACCTCCAGGGTTCTGAGGAAGAAGTGCTCCTGAGAGGTGAGAAATTGTTTAAACCACTCAACAACTGTTTGGGAATGCAAG